CTCTCTCTCTCTCTCTCTTTTCATCTCCTCTCTCTCTCTCTCTCTCTCTCTCTCTCTCCACACAGGGTTTTGGTCTCGGAGTCACCTCTCACCAGCAAAGGAGGAAAATAATTGACACACTCATCTCCCATCACCCACAAGGATGGATGTACGAACTGTCCTTGTAAGGGTTTGGATATTATTCATAAGGGTGCGTATCGGCATGGGCTGGTTTTTGTCCACCTGCTTATTCGAATATCGAAATCCCACAAGTTTTTGTCCAACTTCTTAACAGGCCGTGGGTGCTAGAGACCAACCCGCTCAAAGTCGTCACACCCACATGGATGTCAGACATTTGTTCTGTTACCAACTGTCAGTTTTATCTACGGTTGGTAATGGCGGCCCTCGTCGGGTGCCAGCCCGCGTGTCTGGGTCAAAGCCATCGGCGGCGGCGGCGGCGGCGGCGGTGCCCTCGTGCTCGAGTCAATGGCTCCTGCATGTCCCTCTCGCTTGTCCGCTGCCTTGTCTGCTCTTGATGCTGTCCCTCTGTCTCTCTGTCTGTCTTTTTGTGCTCCAATTGGAAGGGGGGGGTCAAAATGTTTGAATGTTTGCTTCATCACCCTCACTATGTGATGCCGCTGCTTCATCGACCACCAGGCCAAACCCCCCCTACCCCGATTTTCCCCCAGCACAGCCCGACGCCATGGCTTCCACCGTCTTGTTCGAGGACGTCTTTACCGTCCGCGATAAGGTACGCGTGCCCCCCGTGCCTTTTTGCTTCCTCCGACAAAACTCTCACCGCAAATGCACCTGTCTCCGACCTTTTGCGATGCAGGATCCCCATGGCAAGCGCTTCGACCGGTAAGCTTTTGACCGAGCTGGCATCATGTCTGCGGGTGCTCCCGCCCCGACATACGCCCAAACCGGTACTCTGCACAATCCCCGTAATCTTACCAACTTTTTGCCCATCATCACCAGCGTCTCCCGCGTCATCTGCGAGGGTATGAGCTTCAACATTGAGCTGATCCTGGACCTCAACACTCAGCTATACCCCGTCGACCTGAACGACCGCTTTACTCTCTGCCTCGCCTCTACCCTGAGCATGGACGATGAGCCCGACGATGGCTACTACAACCAGGTCCGAGCAACACACATTCAAAGCCCGATCTGTTGAATTCCTCGTCCCCCCTCCCCCTTTCGACCCCATTGTGTTCTGTTGTGTTGACTTGGCCCTCACGTCTGCAATCTTGGTTCTTTTGTGTGCTCAACGCCAGAACCGCAACGCCAGCCGAGCTGACAACTTTGACTATGTCATGCACGGCACCATTTATCGCATTGAGGACACGGACAACGGCCAGCAGCTGTACGTGGAGTCTTCCGCCTCAGTATCGATCTGCATGCTCCCTCCCTGCCTCGCCCCTTGTTTCCTCGCCTTGCAGGCACAATGCCGCTGAATTGCCTTCTCACGCTCTTCAACTCGCAATCAGGGCCATCTACATTTCCTTTGGTGGGCTTTTGATGCGACTCAAGGGTGATACCTCAACGCTGAACAAACCTGGATTGGATCTTGACACGCAGCACTACCTCTTGATCCGCCGCGCGCAATAAACCGCCCTGTGCCATTTGACATGCCTGGCCAGAGTTCCTCTGACTCTGATAGCGTGCCATCTACCACTAGTAGCCGGATCGAGTCTCGTGCCCAAGTGCCAGACCTGTTTCATGCACGACAGGAGCACACTGCATGGACGGCCACACATGCCGTTTTCCACCCATTTGCTGCCATCCACTACCTCTTCCGGTCCCAAAGACCAACGCTCTGCCATTCTTTTTCTCGTTTGCAGGGCACATGCCGTTTCCGACTCGCCTGGGGCGAACGTCGGTGCAACACGGAGCCTCAACGATGACAGAGGCCTTGCATCGACGTGAGGACCAACTGCGGCCGTGATCCCATTGCAATTGATGAAATGACCACTCTTTGTTCACGTCTCAAATTGAGCAAAAGGAAACCAAAGAAGAAGAAAAGAAGAACAAGGGAACAAACAGCGGCTCTGAGAATGTCTTCCGTCCCGCCCGATGCCCTTTGCCCCACCTCCCTGTCCCCCAGCACACCCCTCTCTCTCATTTGCCCGATTCCAATATATTTCCGAGAGGAGTCCGATATCCTGTAAAATATAAAAACATGTGGTAACCGCTTCCGCCCACTTTTTTTGCTGCTGGTCGACCATTGCCCGAACAAACGGCAGCGCCTCGGGCCCGAGTCCGGAGGGAGAAGGGTTGACTGAGCAACACCGGTTGCTCTTGATCCAAGCGTTTATGCATGTGGGATCTTCTTGGGAATGTTATTGAGTGGGATTCTCTGCTGGCAACTCCGTCCAAACACCAAACTTTTGCCGTCCGTCTGCCCACGGGGCAGCACAGAGCCTCGAGAAGCGCCTGCGCACGCGCTGGCCATCCACGGCTGATCATCGGGCATGGCGTCAACAACTTCGCCCCTGACCATCTTTGATGGATCCACAGCAGTGGACGCCGGCGATTTGACCGTCGCCATTGCGTTCACCCTGGTCATCTCCTTTCTCTGCTTCTTTGTGCTCTTCATCCTGTGCATCAAAGTTGTCCGCCGCCAGGTCACCGTCACCACCCGGGAGGAGCAGGGCTACGTCTTTTGGCTCCTCATTCCCATCGAGCTTTTCCTCATCGCCTTTGCCGTTGTCAGTATTCGGGACCTTCGCACCGGCCTTAATCTTGCTGATCAGGAATACTATGCCCTTCAGGATCTGTACGACAACGGCTCGGTGAGCTTCTGCCCGGCCAACGCCACCTTTTGCTGTGACCACATCACCAGCATGGTCCGCAACACCAGCTACGCTGGCTGTAGCATCATCAATGACCCCGTGTGGCGCCGCAGCGACGAATGTGCCGACCATCGCCAGGGTTCCTATGAGCGCAATTGCTGTCATTTTGCTCCTGGCATGGATGACTTGGACGGCACCTACATGTCCTGGATGTGGTTCGGCCTCGTTGCCGTCGTAGCCACCACCATGCTCGAAGTCCTGTACTTTCTCTGCGAGTTGTGTGAGCTACCTTTTACCCGCTACACCTGGATCATTCTCGTTCTCGACTCGGCTGCCATCCTTTCTGACATGTTTTGTAACCTGGTTGTCATCACCATCGGCGATAAGCTGGATGAGCAGCCGTATCACTGCTTTGAGGACAACACCCTCCAAGCCCAATACCAATCGGCCCTCGCTGCCTTTGTCAACTTGCTCTCCGACTTTAGCAGCCTCACATGGATTTTTGTGGTTATCGCCATGATTTTCACGACCTACGTGCTGTGTGTCCGATTGGGTTGGCCCGCCTTTCTTGTGCCACACCTCAAGGAGCGCCCTGCCGCTGTGGCCCGTCGTAGCAAGAAGGAACAGAAGGGAAAGAGCCAACCCACTTCTGCAGCCGAGGTTGGCGCCACCAGTCCTGAATCTGATCTTGAGCTCGGTCAAACCAACGGAATCAACCAGCCCCTCGATAACAGCGCAATGGGCGCCCCCACGGAGCTGGACTTGCTCTCCAGTGTCAACTCCGAACCAGCCAACCTCCAGGTTATGGAGCTTGACGACATCGGCGAACCAGAACCTGCCCTTGACACCGCCCCTGCTGACAACGAGTCCTTGCAAGAAACTGCACTCGACGTCCCTGGCCCCATGGACCCCACTGCCATGGATGTGCCGCTGCCTCCTCCAGAGAACGCTGCCTATGCCGCGCCGCAGGATGCGGTATCCGCGCAAGCAACGGACTTTTATGCCCCGCCGGTCGAGGCCAATAGCGATGATCTCTACGCCGATGCCCAGGAACTGCCCGATGCACCCTCAGAGGCAGCGCCAGAGCTGCAGGAACAACCGGCAGAAATTCAACCGCTGCACGACGACGTGCGCGATGATGAGCATCAGCAGACAGAGCCGGCTTCGGATGTGCAGCAAGAAGAGAGTGCCCAAGAGCAAGAGGTGACATTGGCCGCAGTGCCGGCGTCAGCTTCAGACGCGACGACAACGCCAGAAGAGCCAGGAGAGCCAGGAGAGGAGGAGCAGCAACAGGCTTCGGCCTCGGCCTCGATCGTGGCAGAGCCTCACGACCCGTCTGCTCAGGATCTGAGTCAGTCTCAGCAGGATGATGGATCTGGTAAAACATCAGACTTGGCAGCCGAAGCCGAACTTGTCAGCACCAATCAAGAAGCTGAGCAGGATGATGGATCTGGTGAAACATCAGACTTGGCAGCCGAAGCCGAACTTGTCAGCACCAATCAAGAAGCTGAGGACACAGCCAATGAGACTCCGGATAGCCCAGAGGATGGGGCACTGTCTCCCGCACCACCTGCACCTCCTGCACCACCTGCACCTCCTGCACCACCTGCGCCTCCCGCACCTCCCGCACCAACTGCAGAAGATGTGTCGCCGGACGACACCGCAGCTGCTCCTTAGTGTAGTGTAATCTTGATGATCCCAGCTCAAAAGACCGTATGTGCGGTGCACAGCGCTCTTCATCAAGTGTGCGGTCTTTGAGTGGGATGTCTTACCAAACCCATGCTCACCCAGCCCTATTAGGCTGGCTTTTGGGAAGTCCCGTCTTTTAGGCTTGTTGACTTACTATTTTGTTCATGCTCCCTCTCTCGCCTTTTCCTTTCCCTCTCTTTTTCTCTCTCTCTTTCTCCCTCGCTCACTGCTCTCTCATTGTTTTTGTGGTTGTTCATCTTATTCTCTCTTGTACTTACTTTACGGAACTACAATTCACAAACACTCTGACCGGTCTGCGATGCAATCATGCTCGAGATAGCTTTGACCGCTTGTTTCTATTTCAAGCAAACTGTTAGCTTCCCAAAGCTCAGTTTGTGTAGTCGTCGCATAAACGTGCAAAGCAGACAAAGTCAGTCTGTCCATTTCAAGAGAGGCGGGAAGGAATGATCGATTGAAGCTGCGCACAGCGCTGTCCTGCCGATCACTTCTTGAGCTGTCGAAGTTCCTCTTGCAGCTCGGCCCGCTGTTGCTTAGCATTGACCAGCTCCATGCTCTGCCCCCAGAAACGCACCAGCATGATAACATTGATGAGAACGTTGCTTCATCGACTGCTTTCCTCATTCGATGGTGTACCAAGCAAAAGTTGCAGGACTCACCATCTCTTGCATCGCTTGCTGCATTGTTGCCCGCATGCTCACAGTGTCCTCAAGCGCCGCTTTTAAGAATTTGATTTGCTGTGGAACAAAGGTTCAAACCAGAAAATTGGCCGTGAGCGCGCGCCGCATTCACGCGTACACAAGGATGGCTGTTACCATGCAGGCGTCTTGCAAACACACCTCTTTCAACTGCTCGTTCTCATCAGCCACGTGCTGCTGCTCGGCCTTGTGACGGCTTTGCTCTTGATCAGCCGCCGCCTCGAGGCGGTGCAACCGAGCCTCGTAGGCCGGTGGCTCTGCTGACACTGGCACCATAATCACGTCGAGCGAGCTATCGGGCCGGGTTACCAAATCCATGGCTAGGGCCTCAACTCGAGCCAAGGTCGTGCCCGCAGCTAAGAAGATCACGCACAATGAGAAGAAAGTCATCTTGCTGAGCCAGGCATTTATGCCACCTCACACTCACCAATGGCAGCTGCCCACATGTCCGTGTCGAAAAAGGAGACGTCTTGCAAGGCATTATGATCAAAGTAGGCCATCGTGGAGCGACGAACCTGCATTGGCCGGTACGAGAGAAAGAGTCAAAATAAACCCCAAACGGCCGCAGCAGAAAAGGATGGATCGATGAGTCTTGCGAGATGGCAGGCTGACGCCAGCAAGAGGAATGAAAGCGTACCTCAATCCGTAATGGAGCCATGGGCATCGGTTCGATGTAATCATCACCAAAACGTCCGAGTCGTGAGAGGTGATATGTGCTGATCCATGCGTCCAAGCCCTGCACGACCAGAACCGACTTGGGCAACTCGATGGGCGGTAAGGGCGGGAAGGCACCGCCTGGAAACTGCTGGCGAGCAAATTCGCTGCGCAAATGCTCTTGCGTTGCAGGTGCCAAGCGTCGAGTCAAGTCAACCTGTGTCCCACGATGGGTGCTTGCACTCAGGTCGCTCACGCTATCGCCTTCCTCCTCCGTATCAGGAAGGCCGGTGCTGACACTCATGCTTGCACTCGTGCTTGTGCCGATGCTCGCATTCAAACTGGTGTTCACAACTGCCTGGTCAAGATCCACAGACCCTTCCTCCTGTGCACCAGAGCTCGTGGCATCAGACAACGTGGTGGCCGTGGGACCATTGAACCGAATGCCCGCCTTGTCTGCAGGAGCCAAGGGCTCGGGGTTGGTAGGCGTGGTAGGCGTGGATAAAGGCCGTGCTTGCTCGGCCTGGGCCTCAAGCTGAACTTGAACCTCGTGTCCGTCTGAGGAGATGGATGAGGTGGGAACGTTGGCGCCCACGAGAGCTTTTGGCGCTGCATCGCCATGGCGTGTCGCTGAGGCCGGGTGGTCGGCTGCTGGAAGCTGAAAAACAGACGCGCTGGGCGGGTTGCCGGTCTGGCCGCGTGTGTCTGCCTCACGGGCATGCCAATCATGAACAGTGGCCTTGACCTCGGCTTCGCTCAACATCTGCACAACTTGCTCATGCGTTGGCTCTTGAGAGCCTGGTGGGGGGGGTCGTGGGGGGGCAATTCGCAAGGCCGTCAGGTTGGGTTGAGATCGGCTGTTGTGGACTCGACTATCGTTGGCGCCCTTGCGAGATAATTCCGGGGACGCCTCTGCTGAGCGCCGTGACCCAAAGCCAAACTTGGATCGCCGACGAAGCAATGGTGAACCCTTGACAGGTGACATACTCTTGGCCTTGCTGTTGGGGCTGCTAGAGTTTTTGGAATGGTCTTTTGAGCGTCGGAACAAGCCTCGTCGCCGAGTGTTGGGGCTGGCAGCTCCAGAGGATGAAGCTGATTCGGACGGACTGGGCGCATCAATCGTGTCGGCATCAGGCTCCGCGCCAGGCATGGACTTGGCACCGGCTGCGGGTGCAAGACGTGGGGTGGTTAGAGGCGTCATAAAGGCATCCTCGTCAGCCCCCTCGCCGTTGGCATTAGGCGGAGCCGAGTCGGCAGCAAACGCATTGCGGCCGTCACTCGGTTCGGGCGGTCCAGGCTCGCCCAAAAGGGCAGCCTCACCCAGGCGCTGAAACGAGCGCGCGGTGAGAGTATGAAAGTGTTGATGATCCATGTCAATGCGCCATTGCTGTACTTCCTTGCGCCGTTGCCGACGCTGATCAATGGCTTCAAAGAAAGCACGACTCTGGTGTGGCGAGGGACGCTCATCGCGGCAGTGGTACATGATGACGGGTCGCCCGGCAACGGCCTCGTGACGAGCAGACTCCAAGAATGTACGTGCGTCACTCATGTCCAAGTCTTTGGGCATCTCCGGTAATCTGGCAAAGTGCGTAGAAATGGAATCGGCTGCGGCAACAGTGATGCTAGTCCGATCCCAGGAGACCATCGCCAGCTCCACACGATCAATGTCCACATCGCCAATCAACGTACAGGCCCGCTCGTGCTCTGTATCCTCCGTTGCATCAGGTTCTGTGCCTTGTTGCTCTTCATTGAGCATACGTACTTGAAGCTTGGGCACGTGAACCAAAAGCACGTCGGTCCCCACCGCAGGCGCGCCCGTATCCAGAAGCTGCGCGCGGCACCACAAACCCAGGCACGGCAGAGTGAAAGCGAGGGGAGAAGGGTGCCGTAAATAAAATAAAGAGAGCTGACGACGACTCGTAGACACAGTCGCAACAACCACAACCACAACCACAACCACAACCATATTTGCTCCGGCTTACCAAAAGGGTTCGCTGGAGCGACTCTGAAAAACGCGTCAAAAGCAATATCTATAACAATGAGCGCGAAAACATCGTCAGAAGTTGGAGGACAAATTGACGCTCACATAACCTTTGACAACTGACTGCTCATCCACGGGATTACATACGTCCATGTCGCGCAGCTGGAAGTGCCACGGCTCAGTGGCCATGACCATCGTGTAACTGTTTGGCAAAATAATGTTGCTTTCTTTTTTGGAGGGAGCGGAGCGCTGGTCGTGTGGTGCCCCAGTGCCACTGCTCTCAGTTGAGGCAGTGTCCCCCGTTTCATCCGCTGGTGGCGGCGTGTAGATAAGTACACAGAGTGGTGCCGGCTCCAGCAGTGGCGCGCGACCCAGAGGAGTGGTGGAATCGACCCACACCTACGGTACAGTGCCAGCAACACGGTTGGGGTTGAGTCGTGTAAATAGGCGCCGAAAATTCGAAAGACGATGTCGAAGCACCACAAAATGGTGGTGGCTTACTTGATCAACGGAGATGGATATGAGGCCCTCAACATCTGGATGCTTGTTGGATGGATCGCGAACACTGATTTCATTCACAGGCGGTACCAATTGAACATCAGGGTCTTCAGCTTCAAAGGGTGGGGCCCGACACTTTGACTGGAATAATGGACTGTCATAGAATGGCTTCAGCGTGGGCAAAGTTGGGCCACCCTACAAAACGCAGGCAACCGGGAGATGAGCGGCGGTGGCGCGGGCGTGCGAGACAGTGAAGACCCACGACCCATTGAAGTCTGTGGACGCTTCTGACAGGGCGACCGAGGCCTTCACTGACGGAAATGCATCGAGGTGTGTTTGTAATGGTGGCCTTGGACAGCATAGCCACGATGCTGCGGCGCCGCATGTAAAAGGGCGACGGCTGAGGCGCTTCTGGGATGATCACACGTGGAAGGAGAACCTCAATGCAGAAACGGGTAAAGTGTTCCTGTTTACCAGAGAGGAACACAAAATGAAGGCTGCCTGAGATACACAATATGGCAACGAACCCGACTCTTGACGCAAGTTGCAAACCTTTGGAGGGGGCGGGGCGTCTTCTTCGCTCTCCTCAAACATTTCCTCAAAACCAGCGATCCAGAGCAGTGCTGAGCCCTCTTCCTCATCTATGATGGCGGCCAAAGGCCAGGTAGGCCATTGTTGAGCTGTGTCAAATGGCTGTGGGTAGCATGCTGGTTCCTATGCTCGATAAGAACGAACGCACCTTCCAAGGAATCTAGCCGCTCGCGATATAGGTTGAGCAGCGTTGTGCGCTCCGCCACTTGCAAGACATCAACTTGCTCCTGCCAATCGCGACCGAGCAGGTGGTTTGCATTCAACGCGCGTGTGGGCAATGGAAAAGGGCTGAGTAAGACCTAACGAGGAGCCTTGCGCGGAGGGCCAGCAAGATGCTCGAACAAACCTGCATCGCTTTGCCAATGTTGGTCAGCTCTGCTGAACTTGTTGATTGGAAAATGCGGTCAGCAAAGCGCTATGGCAACACATTTATGAATCATGGGTGAGGAGCAGCGTATGAGTGCAAAAGGGCAGAGCTGGCATTCTGCGTTGACACTCGCACCTTGGCTTGAGCTGAGCGAAGGCGTCCTGGTTGGGCAAGTCGCGAGTGCTCCAAAAACCGCGACACTTGAAGCACAGCCGCCACATGTAACGAGACCTGACAGACACGGGGCATTAACAAGGCAAGGCCATGAGAGATTCAATATTCATCGGCTGATTGATTTAGCCGCGCACGTGGCTACGTCGACCCCACCAACCTTGAAAGGGTGTACTCGACCAAAGAGGGTGGGGGGCGGCAGAGCAAGCTGAATATCGTGGAGCTCCGCAGCCAACCGGTGGGCTTGCTGCCGTGTCAGCTGTGAGAAGCCTGGTACAGTTGGGAGCTCGATATCGGACTCGATACGAGTGGTAGCGCGGTGTAGCTCGTAACGGGCTCGCGGGCTGAGGTAGAGTTGGGTATGCTCGAACATGAGCATCCGCATGTTGTCATCCGCGTCGTATTGCTCTCGATCAATCTGCAAAATGACGGCCATTTGACGTGCTGCATTGGGACCTGCATCCGCGCTCACTGGGGCTGCATTGGCCATCAAAGTCATGCTAGCGACGGAGAACGTCATGACATCATGCATAACGCGACCTGGTAGGCAGTCTTCGAGTGAGAGAGCGCTGGCGACTTGAAGCAACCATGACTCCTTGTCCTGTTCAAATTGCTGGTAAAATTGGTTGCGCATCGCGGAGCGATCGGGATTGGGAACCCATGGCTTTTGTGTCTCCTGACAGCCAAGAAGCAAACAATTTGCCCCGCGTACATCAGCCACAAGGATATTAGAATCGTTGGTGAATAAACTAAAACTTAAAAAAGGTTGAAAGAGTTGCTGCGCATTGGCGAGCGCATTGACATACCTGTTTGAACACAAGTCGACGAAAGCTCCAGGTGGCCAGCTGAGGGCGGCGCGTGCCAATGTGGCCATCTTCCAAGAGTGACAAGAACAAATGGTCGCAGCGCACGTAGATCATGGGGATGAGGCGACGATTGGCATTGCGATCCGGTGTTAACGGAGCCTTGGGTGACTCGGGAGGTCGATTTGCCATCGCCTCGACTTTGGCCGCTGGCCCCTTTTGCGGGGTGGCCTTTGTGGCAGGAGCAGGTCCGTTGTGCAAGACTGGCCCTTGCTCCCCACCCTCGTCTTCCGAATCAGTGCCAAGGCTTGTGTTGAGTGAAGAGGCGAAGGAAAATTGAGACAAGTCGCTGTCGCTGCGCTCCCGCAGACCATCATCGGGAATGGATAACGGCTATTGCATCAAAAGCACGAAGGAATGAGAGACCAACAGCCAGGCCAAGAAACACTAGCTTCAGAACCCTTTCAGGCCCTTTTTTGGGACCAGCAATAAACGTACAGGGCTCCCTTGAGCACGACGATGGGCTCGGATGAGATTTGCCAGGGAAGATTGAACAACTTGGATAATCTACGTCGGGATGTGTTGAGAGAATACGGCCATCGTTGACGCTCAGCACAGCGCCGCCGGGGTGACAGGAGGACCACCATCATCGCCACGCTTCTTTTTGAACCCCATACCTGTAGGTGCTCAGCCGAGACCTCGAGTTGTAGGACATCTATAATGAATTGTAGTTGGCTCCCCAGGTTGACGCTGCACGAGGTTGGCGTGGCCGCAAAAAAAACATGAGAAAAACACTGCCAGCTGAGCCTAGTCGGGCCATCAGACTCGGCGATGCAGAGAAGGGCAAGGCAAAGGGCAGAAATGCATACGTGTTGTCGGCCAGGTCTCGACGTCGATGAATTTGCAAAACGGGCTCTGACATTTTGAGGTGAAGCACGTCGTCTCGCGCTTTCTATACTCAACCGAGCGCACAGGGCAGTTTTGGCCAGAACAAGGAGATGGCACATTCCGTGGGCCGCAAAGTTAGAGAAGCACAGACACCAGGGCTGGTGCCCACTGAGGTACGGGTTGTTTTCGAGGCGTGCTCATGCCTTGGAAAGTCGATCAGAGGTACCGCGCAGGCTGAGTTCCAGAGAGGACAACTGCATAAGACAAAGGCCTGGGTGAACTCAACAACTCTGGGCAGACAGGCGCCCCCGCGATGAAAGCTTGGTTTGTGAACTGCGTCCGGCTTTCTGGACCGACGAACCGATAGCATTTTGAAGAGGGAGGCAAAGCCATGCCGCTGATGAATTTGAATGGCTGATTTGAGGTCATCCACCTAGGCGAATAGGCCCATGCACCATTCGTGAAACATTCAAAAGAAGCTGCCATCAGAGCGTGCTGGTTGATGAGCCCAAGAACCACCTACCACCTCCCACTGATGATTGGTATTTTGAAGCCACAGGTGGCTGACGTCGAGCGTGGTGTCGAATTCTGGGGCGACGAGCCGGATGGCCAGCGTGCCAATGTGCAAGACGATGCCATCGCCAATGATGTCGCCAGTGCCATAGCGCTCGCGTTTGGTGCTGGCCGGGGTGGCGGATGTGGCGCCTTGACCGGCTTGGTTTCCCTTACCGTCCTGGGTCTAACCAAACGCAGGCCAGAAAAAACAAGCGGCAATGCATTCAAGTGTGCGCGTGGGGTGTGGGCAAGAGAGAAGGGGTTCTGATACCAGGCGGGAGCATGTCAAGAGTTGAAAAAGGAACCAATTTTACCTTGGAGGCTGCGAGCTGTTCCTTAGCTTGAACCTCGTCGGGTGTCAAGAGACGGATGACGACCTGCAAGACATGCGCCAATGAAAGGTGGCTCGAGCAGTCTGATCGATATTCTTTTTTTGCGAACGTACCTCAATCTGGTCCACGTCGAGTCGTACGGGTACAGATTTGAGTCGAGTGATGGAAAGCTTGCATGTCACAGTGGAACAAGTACCTCGTTCCAGATGGAGCCAAGGTGGCGCACCAAGCCCCTCCTAAGCGTGATGCCCCGATCAGAGAAGCAGAAATGGCTCTGGAGTGCCGCTGTAGAGCTCGGCCCGTGCTGGCGCGGCCTTGGGCGAGCAGGCACCGAAAAGGGCGTTGACCAACCTGAAGAAAGTTATCACGAAGCTCGAGCCCGCTCAGCTCAGCCTCGCCTTTGAAGAAGGAGAGAGAGAAGCGGTCGGGTGTCATGTCCTTGAAATACAGGGCTAGCCTCTTGGCCAAGGCCGTTTTGATGTAGGAGGCCATGATGGCGAGGAGCGATGCGCAGTGGCCAGGCCCAGGGCAGTCAGGCTTAAAGTCCTCTGCTTACGCCTGCTCGCTCGCTCGTGGCCGCTTGGAGCCAGTCAGACCAGGCAAACGTGTGGTTCTGGTCTTGGTAGGATCAAGTTGCTCGTGGGCAACGCTCGACCGCTCAACAGCGCATGACGCTTGGGACTGCCGACACAAGCAGAGGGCGCGGTCAACGTGCTGCCAAGAAGCAAGACTAGATCTACGAGAATCATTCCAGGCACCAGAAACAGTGAGCACAGCAGTGCATAAAGGTCTCGCCGGCTACCAAAAGTGGCCCCCCGTCGTCTTGGAGCCCCTGGTGACCTCCAGACTCGAGCCCCTTTGGCGCAGCGACACCATTATCCCTCAAGCCGCAGCCCAATCCTCACGACCTCATCGCCACACACACCCCACACACCCCTGTACCACACGCATCTGCCCTCTTCTTTCCCCGCTCCCCCGCGTCGCCGCTGGCTCACACTGCCACTGCCGTTTCTACGCACGCCAGCGAGACATTGTTGGCCAGCATTCAGTCGCTCACACACACGACTGCCCATTATGCTATACGTACGCGATGCCTATAGTGGAGGAAAACACGACTTTTTACCACACACACACGGTATAAATCATATACACACACTCAAAGTGCTTCATGTTGCAAACGCATACACACACACACACACACACACACACACACACACACACACACTTGAAATACATCCGGATGTAAGAAAAAAAAACTTGAATGCTGTCTCGCTGACTGAGTCACGATGGCTATGGGAATGTTTGAAACGGCACTGGAAGCACTGGAGTTGCTGTGCTATGATGGCTGAGTCACGATGCTATGGGTATATTTTAAACGGCACTGGAAGCACTGGAGTCGCTGTACTATGATGGCAAAGTCGTGATGGCTAAGGTGGGTATACTTTAAACGGCACTGGAAGCACTGGAGTCGCTGTACTATGATGGCTGCGTCCCGATGCTATGGGTATTTTAAACGGCGCTGGAGCGGAGAGCGCTGTGGAGTCAAGAAAGTCGCTGTACTATGGCTGATGTGCCGCCGAATGAACCCCCTATCTTGCAACGGCGGTTGTCGACATTCAGCAGACCGTCAATGAAGTTCCACCAAAGATTCCTGCCATGGACTGCCGCCCAGGCCCGAAGCGTACCTGACTAAGCATCGCAAGCGCCTGACGCGTTGAACAACCGCTTGAAGCAATTGAACTCAACAACCGACACCCTGGGCCCAAAGAGCTGCATACTCTCACAAAGCAGTTTGAGTTGCCGCCAGTTCTTCTCACACCCCAACCCATGCTGGCAGCGTGCCCTGCCTCACCCACCGCGCTGAAAATCGCTCCCGAGACGCCGCCCGCCGACCTTGGTGCAGCTGCCCGTGTCCTTCCATTCCCTCCGTCCGGGGCCCTGACATGCACCCAACAACGAGCGGTACGTTGAACAGGCTCGGCGATTTTTTCCGTGCTAGAGAGTGTCTGTGGTCGACTTTAGACCCGACTGATGCGATGCGCCTTTCATGTCTATTCGGTGATTGCGACGCCGCTTGGGCAATTTCACGAGGTCGTTTTGTTTGAAAATGCTCAAATCTATCCTGAGCTAATAATGCACGACACGGCCGAATTAGGATGTGTTGAGCTGTTTAATGTCAGTGGTTGACCTCTTCCCAGTTTGCTGGTTGCGTATCGCTTGAGATGCGGCAAGCGCGTGCATGTTGAATTGACGTGCGTACGAATTTGGTGGCTTGTGGTATTTCTGAGTGTGCGATATTAATCAAGAGCAGAGATTGCAGGGCCGGGTGAATTAAGAGAAGAGGCAGCAGTGGCTCTTACTGGCCGTGGGTATCATTGGTCGTGGCTGTCCCGCGCAGCGGGCTTTCGACACGGGTATATGGAAAGTCGCAATCAGGCAGAGGTAGGGTCTGCGCCGAGCTTTTGCCCAATGAGACCACAGCTCACGAGCACGCGCAGATGATCGGGTTGGTATCGCCGCAGATATTCAAGCACTTTACCGGGCACCCCTTCGTCTGCCGGCGGCGGGTACAAGTAGGGACACGACCAGAGTGCGAGAGCAGTGAGTGGAAGACGAGGAGCACGAGCGTGGACCATGGCCATGACGGGGATGCGGGTCTTGGTGGTTTGCGGGCTCTGGCGATGGTTGCAAACGCGTACCAGGATCGCCTTCGAGTTGCTCGGCCACAAAAGCTCGAAGCAGCTGCTTTGCCTCGGCAGACGCCAGCAAAGCTTGTTCGGACACGACACCGCCATCTCCTGGCAGCATAATCTCCACCTCGCCCACGGCGTAGTCGGGCGCGGCGCTCTGGGTGAGTTCAAGCAGATCCGAATCCGACCAAGCAACTTGCTGGTCCTGGAGACGGCGTCACATAGGCGTAAAGCAATGCGTAAAATCAAGACAAACACTGGTGGCATGGGAAAGTGGCTCGGCTGTTGGGGGTGATAGGTCAGGGTCGGGAATGGCAAGTTGGGGCAACGTCTGACCTGGCAGAACCACACGCGATCTATGTCAACGCCAAACTCGGTGACGGGAAGGGCGGAGTTGCCGTCCGTGGCCTCGCGCTGGGGCGGCGGTAGGGTGAAGCGGGTGCGCTCGGTCAGAAGGAGACCATAGGGCCACACTGAGGCTGGAGCAGCGGTGGGTGCCTCGGGGGCGGGTACCCCGAGCAAGCGAGCGGCTTTCTGAAGAGCCGCGAGGCCGGTGCGCTCCTCATAGCAGTCGACAGCGCTGGCTGTACCCTCGGTTGGCGTAGGCAGACGACTGGGTGGTGACTTGAGCTCCCAGGATGCAGACTCGCCCAGTGACCAGCGCTGGCGGAGCCAATGGTCGCTGCGTGATAACGTGTACTCGTCCGGCACATCAAAATACCGGTCCACGAACAACCGCGGCTGCGACGCGTGTAACGCCAACGCCTTGACGCGTGCCAGCACCTGAGCCGCTGCGCGAAACTTGAGCTCCACCTCCAGTACAGCTGCCATCCTGCCGCTTCCCGGCGGCCGTGTTGTGTTTGGATACAACAAAAATGCGCGAAAGACCCGAAAGACTCCAAACACACACACGCTCTCTCTCTCTCTCGATGTGTGTGGACTGCAATCATGATACATCAACCTAAATGTCTGTCAGAGTTGTATAACACGACGGGATGCTGTACGGGGTTGGAGGCGGGCCACTGCGGGCTCGATCGGTCTTGTGGGAATCGTGGCCGTACAACACAAGTCCACGAGGGTTCAGTGTCTAAAGTACCATCGCGCTGCCCTAAAATTAATTATCCGGAAATCAACTCGAAATTACCCCAAAATACACCTAAAAATTGGAGAGTAAAGCCCAGCCTCCGATCGAAAGCAGAGAACAGAGCACAAGCGAGCGTTTGAAGACGCCAATTTTAAGGGAAAGATACAACGATTTCAGAGATCAAGTGCAAAACCCAGAGCGAAGAGAGAGAGAGAGAAGAGGGAAGAGAGAGAGAAACGAGACAGACCACTACCAAATGCAAGGAAATTGTCAGCAAAAAGAAGCAAATAGAACAGAACAACAGCTACAGCATACACGTCGTCAGTAGTGCAGCACTCCACAGTAAGCTCCTGCGAAGAGAGAGAGAGAGGGTTGAATGCTATTTCGATGTGTGTGTGTGTGTCGCGGCATTTGAAACTCTCTTTTTTTTTTTTTTTTTGCGGCGTTGGCGTTGATACGGCAGCGCCACTGGGGTGAGTGTGGTGGACGCTGCAGAGTCTTGGGTGGGGTGAGATCAGTTGCTCTGTTGGGTTGAGTGAGCCATAGTGTGCTTGGTTGGTGTGAAACGGTTCGGATTGTTGCTGCTTCAAGGTATGAAGATCGCGTTTTAGTGGGGCAACTGGCAGGGCGCGGGCGGGCACGCACAGACACTGGCTGCGTGCGTGCGCGTGCGTCCGCGTGCGCCGCGCTGCTTTGACACAAGCCAGATGAAAGCGACACCATTTGATTATCCTCCTCCTCCTCCTCCCCTTCCTTCTCTTCATCCTGCTGTTGCTTTGCGTGATGGTCGAACCCAACCCGGGTATCTGCAGCCTCACCGTTGCGTCTTTGCTCTCCTCCGCCTCCACCTCCTCCTTGCTACTGTTGGGCTTGACGGCGACTCGCCGATCGGGTCAGTACAGGCGCACCGTGGCCATGTCCGACAAGGCTGAAGGACTCGCCGCCCCGAGTGGTGGCGCAAGCGCCGACACGACACCTGTGCCTGCTCCCGCGGCGGCCACACCCAAGGCACCCGAAGGCAATCATTCACCCGGGAGCGACCGTGGCATTGCCGTTCCCAAGTCGCGTCTGGCTCCCCCGGCTTTTGGTGGATCAGCCCCAACCTCCCTCTCGCACACCCTTTCATCCTACGATGATGAAGATGGGATTTCTTTCATCTCAGCCCTTGAACATGAGATGTACGCCTCAGACCCATCACCCTTTGCTCACCGACTTGGCTTCCAGGCTTTGCCACATCCTCCTTCCTGCCAACCCTCGCCTCACTTCTGCGCCGTTCTTTTTCCGAGCAGGCCCAACAGCCCTACCAATGACTCAAACCATCTAAAGTACTCAAGCAGCCGCGACAGCCGCAAACAGTACAAGGTGCGTCACTCAATCATTCTGAGCTGCCTTGCAGCCCTCGATTTTGGTGCGACCTGAACCTCGCGTCGCGTCGACACGAATCTCATTTTGGGGACCCTTTAGCTCAACCGTTCGCGTTACGAAGAGGAGAAGCAGCGCATGACGGACATGTCTGGTTATGATATGGACGAGCGGCCCTACAAGACCGGCATCATGAAGGTACCACACATCGCAGCAGTGTCAGGCTTTGCTGCCCCAAAATCGTCCACGGATTGATCGACACAAGTACTCATCCCGAGTCACGTGATCTCTGGTCTTTGCCATATTGATACATCTTTGACCAGATCCGCAACACGTTGCGCTCTTGGACCAAGTTTTATTGCGAACTGCGCCACGGCATGCTGCTCCTCTACAAAGAGGATCGTCATGACGTCTGGATGGGCACCGTCCTGCTTGCCGGTGGCATGGTTCGTCAGCTGCCCCCACCTATTTGTTTTGCCTCTGCTTCAGGTGCCATCGTCTCATATCCGTTCCCCTATCCTTTGCACCCTCGACAAACAGGTGATGGAGCGCCCCTCGCGCAAAGAAGGACACACCTTCAAGTTTTCGCATCCGCTGCGCGCGGCCATTCATGCCCCACGCGTACGTGCAAGCCGTTCGTTTCCAGGCACAGAGCTCAACTCGCTCCTGCTCACGGTAACTTGCTGGTCTGCGCATTGACAGGGCCCCAAGGGCGAGATCTGGTTCAATCTCGTCCGCATTCCCTCGGATCATTGCATGTTTCGCGTCTCCACTGCACAAGAGTGCGAGGTTAGCGCGAATGGCCTGCTCCTTGACACGCCGGGCTCTGCCACCGACAATCGCCTGCTCAACATTGCGATGACGGGGTGACGTCAGGAGTGGATCACGGCCTTTCGACGCTCCATCTTTGGACCCCATCCCAAATATGAATCGCGCATGGCGGAGCCTGTCATCTGTAAGCGATAGCAACGCCCAATCGACGGACGAACACTTGCTAAAGCATGCTTTGGATCTCTCACCGGGGTCTCCTTCATTTGTAGCCAACTTTGATACCCTGCGCGCCGACGTGCAATCAGATGATGGTCTCTGTGCCAGCCAGCACGACTTGCATCATGCCCACGAGGCCTCGCCCCGATCCAACCGTCGTCCGATGCAAGCTGGGTAGGTCCCTCCATTTCGCATTCCTGCTGACCCTCCCTGTTGAGAAGTTTCAGTCATTGGCTTCCTCATTATCTGTGCGTATGTCCCTACTTCTCGATCATATCTTTGGCCCACTAGGGAGAATGGCTTGTCTTCAGCCACGCGTCAACAGCTGGAGGCGCAGGGTCAAGCTGCTGCATTGGTCAGTTTATCTGTCTCAGACCGCCCTGCTCCCTTGTCTGTAGATCCAACGCCCAGTGCTGCGCGCGCTGACCTAGCTGACCGCCGTGCATATTCAATATGATGGGTCTTGGGGGACCGGATGTAATCACAGGCCGCTGAGTCAGACCTTGATCATGGCGAGGATTTGATTCCAAACTGGCGGGCTGATGCGCGAGGTTAGTTCCACCAGGCCCCGTCACCCTGTGGTGTCCCACACTCTCAGACTTGCTGACGGTCCTGAACTTTTTCTTTTTCCTTGCCTCCAATCAGATTTCACAGAGCCCGCACCTCCCATTGAGGTGGAAGAGAATGCCTGGGAGTTGCACCTCTCATCGCTGCAACACGTGAGTATGAAACCTGTCGTTCTGTTCTTCCCCCCCCCCCCCCCCCCCCCCAACATTTTTGATCTGGTGTCTTGCTCATAACACACATCTTCTGCTTGAATTTGGCTCTCGCAGTCACCGGGCCAGCGGATCCAGGAGCAGCAATTCACCGAAGAAGAAGTGGCCACAGTCTTTGAGCGAATGGGCAAGGTACACGACTCGTTTCTTGTATTTTTCCTTTTATTTTTAAAAAGTCGACTCAAAACATGGGGTCCACCTCGTCTCCATCCTGCCCACCCAGGCTCATGGCCCCTGCCTTCCGTGCTGATTGTTCCTACTTCTAGGTGCCAGTGACCGAGGCCGTGACGCTGCCTGCGTTCATGTTGGAGCCACGCTCAGAGCTGGAACGCCTCGGCGATGCTTTCCATCATGCTGACATTCTGACCGATGCTGCCAAACATGCAGTGAGTGCCAACGCGTTTGTACAACTGGCGGCTCTCTCATGGCATCTGGCCAGCTTGATGGGACAAGTCGCAATTCTCACCGCACATGTGGGATATCAGATGCCCCGTGGCCGTTTTGTGTCTGTGCTGCGCTGGTACCTCTCGAGGTGAGCTCGGTCATCGGTTTGGGGGATATTGTATCTTGGTGCGTTCAAGGTCATGTCTACCCACCGCGCCTTAACATGTATCCCGACGTGTTGTGTTTAGCTTTTATGCCAAGGCCAGCGGAGCCTTGCGTCCGATCCCGCCTTGCAAGGGAGAGGTGTGCCGACTGATGTTTGAGCATCCCATCCACGGCTCGACACCATCGTCGCGCGTTTTTTTCGTGGCCGAAGCGGTGCGTACGCGAGAGGTTCCGTTCGTTTGGGATAGCAAAACGCAGAAAACACACCCGCGTCTGAAATTTCAGATGAGTATGTACTTGTGACCGTTCTCATTCACTGCTTGCGATTGGGGACATGGGGCTGGACCACAGGTCGAGCATGGGTGTGCTGCGCTGCATGGTAGCAGCCGTGTTGCCGGTTGGGCGGTCGATGGCGTCATCAACTGTAGCCATCACTTCACGGGTACGGCGGGCTCCAGTCGACTCCCAAAGTCGTTGCTCGCGGCTGTGCTCGCTTCAACGCTGGCACTTTGCTCAACGCATCTACTGCGGTCGACTGCTAGGCGACAAACTGGTCAGCATTGAGCGTGGTCAGATGGAGGTGCATTTGGCTCGTGTGGCTGAAACCTTTGTGATGACGCGTCCTGCTCAAGTGACCAGCGGTCTCAGCACCGGCCACACCCTGACCACGTACAACGGCAGCATTGAACTCCGCTGCGACATGTCGGGCTACCGGTGCGTCTTTACAGGACTTTTCAGCATTGGTCACCGCTGCGTGGCTCCGGCTCACCCGAGTGATGGGTTGCTTGGTGTGGTGTTTTAGATTCAAGGGGAGCTTTGACCCGAACAATCAGCTGTCCAACGTGATTGAGGGCACGCTGTTCCACAACGAGGAGAAGATTGCCACGCTGCATGGCGAGTGGGATGGTCAGGTGCACATTAAGACGCTGGACAATGACATGCACCTGTTGTTGGATACGGCGGACGAAGAGATTGAGGCTCGTCGGCTGACGCGTCGTGCCATCGTTGCTGAGGAACTGTGGGGTCTTCCTGCCGTCGAAGATCAGGTGTGTTGTGTCTGGAAGAGCCAACGATCCCTCCTCACGTCTTGCTGGCTGACGTTTGTTTTGGGTTCACATCAATGGCTATTGGGCCATGTCCAATCATCGCTGATCATCGTACTGGTCACTTTGTTAGCCTTTTACGGACAGCCAAGCGTTGTGGAGCTCCTGCGCCGAGTTGTCGGGCGAAGACTTTGAAAACTACATTGCTTCGCTGCGAACACGCATGCTGGCCGCACATGCGCCCACCCTCTTTCACATTAGTGAGTCGACAGTGGCTGACTTTGGAATGTGATCATGGGGACCGGGTTTCTCAGCTTTCAATTTTTTTTTCTTTTTCTTTTTGCAACTTCTTAGCCAACGGCCAATATCGCTACACGGAGGACGTGGGTCGCCCTTGGGACTACTTGCGCGATCTTTATGACTACCAGTCGGAGGGCCACCTGAAGGTGCGGTACAGGATTGGGCATATTTCTATGCTGACGTGTTTGTGTGAGCGGACCGTTTGATATTCTGTGCTGCCGGTGGTTGGGCCCCTATGCTGGTGATAGTGCTTGACGATTCAAGACACCGTCACAGGCACGCCGCGTAGCTCGACGCTGACACCCGTGCAAACGCTGCGCAATCGCAAGCGGCCCAACTCTTTGTCCGGTCTGGCCAGTGGTACGTATCGAGTTGTGCTGGCCCCGCACGCACAGCCGTGCGTGCGGGGCCAGGACTAGGGTTGGGGTTTTGAGTGTGGGAGCAGTTGTTCTGTTTGCACCCAATGCTCCTGCACGTATGAAGAGGATCAAAAGGGTATCGACTCTTACTTTTCTTTTTGTGGACGTCTTAGTGAGTACCATGGACTCGGACGTGTTTGTGGCAAGCCCCCGTGTGGGCAAGTCTGGCGGGGGCCGAACCAACTTGGCGTCGGTCGTCGAGGAAGCGGGCTCGGGCACGCCTCAAGGCGAGACAAATGCTTCTGAAGCTCCAGCAGCTACTCGTCGCACGCCTTCGGTGACAGTCAAGTCCTCACCAAGTGCAAACGCAGCCACTCCAGCTGGGGCAGCTGGCAAAACGCCAAGCGCCGAGGGCTTGGCACAGGTTACCAAGCGTGTGGCGCGCCTTGAGTCGGCTTTTATGATGGAGCGTGCTTTGCTTGTGGTGGTCCTGGCCATCCTGCTGGGCATTTCTGTTTATTTCTAGAAGACTGTTGTGGCTTGGTTGGTTGGTTTGGTGGGAGGTGGGGGCAAGATGCATTCACCCTTTCTTTGTTTACCTGTATTCCGCCTGAAGGGTCGGAGCGTTGAAACTCGAGCCAGTTTATGATTGGTGAGTTGGTTGGTTGACCGCTGTCTCTTGGTTGATGAGGAGAGGGGCTGTGGTTTCAATCGAACCCAACGGATTTGAGCTGAATGTGATGTGAAAAGTTGCACCTTTGGTGAAGATGGCATGGAATTAAAAGGCAATAATAATCGGGTGGGATACATGAGGAGTCTTGGTGGATAAAAGTGGGCAGCTCAGCTGCTGCTGATGAGGCGACCAAAAGCAAGGGTGCCGAAGCAAAACTAGGTCAAAGTGATGACCTTGCCATGTTTGCAACGGCGACAGGTGGTGCGCTGCGAAGAGTTGGGCGCTTCGCACGACGGGCAGGACCAAGGTCGCTGGGCCGCAGAAGGCGGTGGCGGCGGGACGGGTATTGCTAGTTCAGAGGCTGATGCTTGAGCTTCGGGACCCAAACCAGGGTCTGAGTCGCGGCAGGGGCGCGGTTCTTGGCACACCTCACATATGGGGGCCAGTGACTTGGTGTTGATGAATGTGCAGGTTGCGCACTGCCAGCTTGAAGCAGGCGGAGAGGTGGGGCGGGCAGGGGTTGTGCGCAAAGGGACGCGGGTGGAAGGGTGGTCCTGGTCACGCGAGGAGGATGCTGTGCGTGGCTCTTGCTGACGCGCCGACTTTGAGTTGGGGGCATCAAGGGTCGGCGAGGCGGCGTGCGAAGTTCTGGCGGCACGTCCTGCAGCAGCAGCTTGTTGCGTGTGCACGCACCACTGGTTGTCCTGTGCCCGTCGATATGCAGCGGCGGCTGCCATGGCAGCGGGTTTGGCATGCGCCCAATCGATGTCCAGTTGGGCCTGGAGTCCTCGGCCGAGGCGTCGACCAGTTGTGGCGGGGTTGCGTCCATGGTGACGCAATGCTGCATTTCGTGATGCAGCCAGGTCATCTGAGGTTCCTGACCGCGGGCCATGTCCCAAAACACGGCCCTTGCCAGTAAAAGACTACGAAATTTGAACAAAAGGGTGAGCATGGATGACATCCAAGGGCTATCGTGCCCACATGTGAATTCTAGTCCACAAGGCCGAGAAAAGAAAGGGCCTGCCCGCGTGCCCCACCTGAAAGCTGGGCGTGGTCGAGGCAGAAGCAGTACGAGTGGAGGGCTTGTAGCCAAATTTCTGGTGCACCAATTCCGAGGTAGCCTCATCTATGCGTCAAAGGTGTGAATGCGCGTGCAGTCAAGCGTGCGAGTTGGTGTTTGTGCATCTTGGAAGATGCCAATCGATGGGCGAGCAAAAGGGCGGCTCACAGCGAGCCGAGGGCAGAGGCGGACCTTGAAGCTTTTCCAGGAGCTTGTAAAAGGCAGCATTGTGCGGGCCATGCACGACGTGGGCAAGCTCATGAAGGAGGGTGCCAACGATAAAGTCAAAGTCGTAAAACGAGTTGCGATTCTCAGCAGGGCGGAGTCGGACACGAATGACTTGGCGGCGGTTGATATTCAAGCCAAGCAGGTTGGGGTTGTTGGGAAAGAACTCGGTCAATTGATTGACCTAGGAGCGAGCACGTGAGGTCCGAGGACGTAGGCGTCGTTGGGAGGTGTAACAAACAAGAGGGCGCGAGGCTGGGGTGGGCCTGGCACAACGAACCGAACCTTCCATTTGCGGCTTCGCATGATCGGGGCAACGAGTTGGGCCGCCTTGGTCAGCAGCTCCAAGGCTTGTGCTTTCTAAAGCACGGGTTCCCAACACAGCAGCGACTGTCAGGCGGTGGCGTTGGCAGTCTGTGCGAAAAAGATCCCCTCAACAGAGAGCGTCCAAGCCTGACCTGTTGTTCACGTTGGAGGACGGTGATCTGGGCAAACTCGGTGCCTGCCGCTTGATCCCCCCCCATCATGCACTTGACCCCCACACTCGCCACACCTCACCACCTCTCCCACCCAGAAAAGCAAATGCATTCAGGAGGGCGATCGCTCCCTTCCCCCTTCACTGCCACACACACACACACACACACATACATCACTGTGCCACAAAAAAAAAAAAAAGCGCGCAGCAAGGAAAAAAAAAAAAAAAAAAAAACGGTTTGGAACGGCACAACACGACAAGAAAAACCATGACAATCTGACAATCTGACAATAGTATACAATCTGACAAATCCGTTCTTGAGTGCGTGATGGCAGGGTCGCAGGTGAAAGAAGATGCAGGAACGTTTCAGGGTTTAAGCAGATGAAAATAAAGTTATTGCAGATACGCTTCATTCCAAAGGAGTCGTATAGTAAAATAGAGTAAAATAATATACGCAAAAGTTGATGTATCTGTAGATCTACCTTGCACATGCAAACGGGGGGCCAAAAGTGCATGACACATGCAGGGAGGCGTCGACGTCCTGCCGACTCGGCCCGCCGCGCGTTCGACCCCTTCTGTGCTCCCTGTCGTTCATCATCGTGGTGGTGGTGGTGGTGGTGGTGATGAGGTGATTGGCAGTGCATCATGGAGGGACCAAGGTGACCCGCGAATCGCAGTCACAGCTTTGCTGTTTCGGGGACATTTTGGGCCCAGCCAATTCGTGACGAGCGCTTGGCCTGGAGAGGGCTTGCCGACGCAACCGCCTGGTTTTGCGTGTTCTGCATGTCCATGGGCATTTTTTCTTTCACTCGGCTCCAAGCTGCCTCGACCTGTGAACGTGCCTGGGTGTGTCATCAAGCCTTGCTCCGCTTGCCACTGCATCGCGTGTTCTGCCTCTCCCCTTGGTGGGTGGCCACGATATCTGTTCTTGTGCTGGTGTGGTGTGGAGTCGATCTTGCACTTTGAAGATGGATCATTGCGATGCCATTGAGAAGCTTCGCAGCGCCGGTCACGCCCGAGTTAACATCGAAGGCTGCAATGACTCGGTCTTCAACTTTATCTCGCAAGCCTCGCTTGACGAACTGGTGCGCTGCTGCCACCATACCACCATGCCGCCCCTGTTTTGACCGCTTCGCCTTGATTGTCGCTCACGCTGCCCTTGATGGGACACAGACGCCGCTCTTGCAGCGGCTCCGCGAGTTTCAGGTGACGGAGCAAACTCAACTCCCATATACCTGTACCGGCTTTCTTCAGCTGGACAGCGACTGCTATCATCGGGCCGAGGTAGGTCGCGCCTCAAGTGGAGAGTGTCGTCGCCGTCCCGCGCATTTGACTCACCGCCTTTTCATCTGCCCAATCTTGTTTTTTTTTTTTTTTCCTCTTTGGCTCCCATAGATCTTGTCACAGTTTTCCTCGTCTGCAGCCCCACTACTGGTGGACTTGTACACCATTGGCGATGAGCGCAAGCACCAGTTTGTATACAAGGTGGCGTGCCTTTGGCCTGTGGTCTCAATGCTGGCTTTTCAACATGGCTGCGCGTAACGCAGTCCAACTCACAACGAGACACACCTGCATCAATGTAGCGCGAGGATCTGGACGACGATACATTTGTGGCCAGCATGTTTGTGGTCCTCAATCGCTTGCTGGATAAGCTCAAAGTCGACAGCAGCGTACGTCAGCCCACACCAGAGTCTCTGTCATGTTGTATTATTCCTTGTCTTGTGCACCGAATGTTCCAAGCCATTGCCGTGTTCGCGTCCGGTTCTCGATTTATTTTTCTCCCCAATGTGTGCGTGTGCGTGTGCGTGCGTGTATGTGTTTGTGCCGGGCTCGATCGATCCATGATCAACCTCCCGATGAGCGCTCGTGTCTACTGCATGGTGTGGACATGGGTCAAGTTCATGGGACTGTGTGCGGCCGATTGTTGGGTGTTTGCTTTTTTTTGGTTGTTGCCTGCTTTTGGTGTACAGCACCGCTTGGGTAGCACCAATGCCTACATGACCATGGCGCCCGATGTGATCGATGTGGATCAGGTCTTTGAGGCTCAGGCCAAGGGGTACACGAGTCAAGACATGCTCTCGAAACGTAAGTGCTCTTCCAGTGCCAAAAGGACACAAAGGCCAAGCGTGACGCCGAGTGCGATGCCTTGCCATGGCTGCTGGATTGGGTGGGGCTGGCTGGCAACTCTCACAGAAGAGTGGATCGTTTGCCTGCATTATTTGCTTCATGTTAGCCGACCTGTTGGTGCGCCAACCAGCACCTGATAGCGACTCGTCACCGCTGCCATCAGCCAACCAAGCCACCCTCAGCGTGGTGAAAAAGTACCGAAACTTTGCGGAATTGCCAGAAATGGATCTCGACAAGATTGGCGAGTCCGAGGCACAGGAGATGGAGACAACGGCGCAGGATGTCGACGATCATGATGATGAGATGGATGACGCATCTTCGTCGCCACCACCCAAGAAAGAGGTGCGTGGTTCATTTGCGGTTGAGCTGGAGCTGTTGGTTGGTTGCTGTCGGTGATGCGAGACAAAGCTCATGCTTGCCCTGGCGCGGCGTGTTAACGCCTTTTTTTTTTTTTTTTGGGTTACCGGGGCGATGGGTGGTTAGCCGCGCAGCAGTTTTACAATTCAGTTGCCCGATCTGAGCGATGCTGTCACGCGTGCCGACTTTTTGAAGGCCCATCCATACTTGCGCGTGCCGTGCTACGCCGTCTATTCTTTTCACTACGCGCATGTGAACAGCGTCGACTCCAAGGGGCCAGCACCCGAGCCCTGTGGCTTGATGGAGTGCGTGCCCGGTGAGCCTCTCAGCAAATTTACCGAGGCGGAGGTCGTGGCGCTTCTGCAGTCCCACAAGGATGTAAGTTCTTGTTTTTTTTTCCTTTCTTTTGGCTTTAGTGAGGTGTGCGAGGAGACGGGCATGCGCCCTGGCTGGGGTAAAAGAGCTTTCACGTCAGAGGTGGCTGTGGTTTTGCACGTGTGCTTTGGTGGTGAGGTAGGTGGTGGCGCTGCTAGACACTCTGGCAGCATCTTTGGCCGCAGCATATTTTGTGGGTCTGCGTGACCGGCATTACGACAACTACATGATCACCACCAACGGGCTGTTCTGCCACATTGACTTGGGCAACTTTGCCAATGAGCGCGCCTTTATGGATGCCAAGGTGCGTGCGTGCGTGCTTGCGTGTGTGCGTCTGTGCGGGGCACATGCTGGGTACGGCCACATTGTGGTTTTGCTCACCTGTTGTTGGGCTGGCAGAGCATTAGTGTGACACCGACCATGGTGCGCGCCATCAAACGCTTTGATCCCGATGCGTGGGAGTACGTGGCGCAAATGGCCAAGGGCGTGATGCAGATTTTCCAAGCCCATCTGGAGGCCTTGTTAATCCAGGCCGAGCAGCTGGACAGTGCGCGCTTTGAGCGCCTCGAGTCTTACGTGCGCCGCCATGTACGTAACCCTAGTGGATGGCGGTTCAGCCCGTGCCTTGCCTCACTTTGGATTATTTTTTTTGTTCGTTGGGGTGTGTGTGGTGTGCTTTGATGGGGCGGGTCTAGGTCGCGCCAAAGGGTTCACCAGAAAAGGTTTATCGCATGGTGCTGCGGGCCGACCGGTTCCGCACCAATGTGAAGAACTTTATGCACGGTACGTGTTTCCTCCGAGGGTGCAAGTCGCTTCATGGCTGTGTCTGGTTACCCATGGCTCACATGTGCGGCTTGTTGAACAGAGTATGTGGCGGTGCCGGTGAGCAAGCTTATGCACGGCCAGTCATAGTCTTGGAGCACGCCTTGAAGCGCGTGCGTGCGTGTGTGTGTGTGTGTGTGTGTGTGTGTGTGAGTGAGTGAGGAAGGCTTTCTCCTGCTCGTGTTGTTCTGCCGTAGCATTAGTTTTTCTGTTGTACTGTACCGTGATGTTGTTAATGGACGGGCATGATAACTCGTGGCCCGAGGGCGCGTGCGTGGCAATGCAATTCGGTGAGTGTTCCGAACAGCGTATCATCTTGCTCGCATGTGAAGCAAGCCGCCGCCGCTGCTCTGTTGGGCCTGTTATGATCTGAATGACAAAAACGATTTTTTTTTGAGGATGAAAAAACCCCTTTTCTCCTTTTCTTTCGGTCCTTGCCTGTCGGCCGTTCGCCTCTGGCCATCCGTCACATTGGGATATCGCCATCTGATGTTCGGAGATGACCATCCCGGTGGCTTTTGACGGTGATGATGATGCTATTCGGGCTGTTTTGCTGTTTGACAGTGGTGCTGGCCGTGATGATGATGATGATGATGATGATGATGTCGATGCGATGACGATGCCAACGGCCGGTGGAAGAGTCTGGTCATGAGTTTGCAATCCAGCCGAGTTTTTGGGGCGGGGGGTGCGGAGTTTACAGTCGTCCATTTGGCAGGTCGTGGCATGTGATCGCCGTGATGATGCTTCGAAGGACGCTTTAAATCAGCAGACGATCCACTGCGCACTGCGCGGGGCAAGAGCTTGGCCGTCGAAAAACCAAAACCGCACATGACGCGACTCTCAAAACGTTTGGGAGGGGGGGGGGTGGGGGGCTCGAGCTGGAATTCAGCCAGCAGCCGTACATCAAGTGTGACCTGCCTCGAGCGCGGATCACCAACTCCGCCCCCACCTCCGACTTGTTCCGCCACGAGCCCTGGCTCACATACCTGTGTGCTTGGGCCACACACCTTGTGCACGGCATGCCACGTCACGTCGGAGCTTCGGAGTGTGGGCGGCCCGGGCTTGCTCATTGTCGACAAAAATAGGGTTTCCCGCCAAAACTTCTCAAGCCAGAACACGTTAGACCCCCAACACTCGCGTGCAAGACCTGTGACACGTTGGACGCAGAAGCCATTGGCGGCTGCTTTTGTCAACGTGACATGGACGCAAAACAATAAACTGCGGACACTTCCCAATATGCTGACATTCCCCACAGGTTTCCCGGGGAGCCCCCTCTCCAGCCCCCTGCAAAGCCCCCTATAGATTCCCCCTCGCAAAGGAAGAGCCACCTAACCTGAGATGAGCAATGCGAGCTGGATGCACACGAGAAGGGGCTAGGGCACACTTGCAAAGTGGTGTTCTGCTTGGGGGCGCCACACTTTGCGGGTTTATTTCTTCAGCCGACGCACACAACCTGCGGGCCCGGTCAGCAAGGCCTCCCATCACACTTGTCAACCTTGATCAACGTACTCGTAAGCCTCCCTCATCACACTTGAAGTGATGCAAATCGCACACTTTGCGATTTTTCAAAGTGTCTTAAATTCATACTTCGTCCAGTTGACCAGAAAAGCACAAAGTGTGCTTTTTGCTGTTCTTTGCTTCGGCTCGCGCCACTTGTTGCTGCACATGGGCGCGTTGATGTCAATGTGGTGCTTGACGTCACGTGGGTTCGTGTATTCGCAAAACAGGTTGGTGCGGCGATGCTTGCTTCTTCTTCAGCCCGTTTGTCGCTGCTTTCGAGAATGCCAATCGACGCTTTGGGGTCCCTTTCCCATGGGTTGAACGAAGAGGGCTCCTGCTTGCTTGCTGTGCGAGCGACAACACTGCGCACTGCCAACGTGAAGGGTACAGTGTCGCGCGCGCTCTGCTGGCCGGGTGCTATGTGGTGTGCGGACATGGATGATGGTCAAGGGGAAGGGGCTGGGGGTCAGAAAAAACATGCCCACGTTGGATCATCTTGCTTCGTTTGCCCTTCTTCCTGGTTCTCTCCCGGTCACACATGGCCCCGTCTGCGCTCCTCTTGCCAACCGCCAGGCTTTCTGGTGAGGTCGAGCGCCATAACGCACGACAAAGGGGGACATCACCACGAACCTTCCCTGCAAACATGGCGTCGTCTGGTCATGAATCAATCACACAAAGCGCGCTCTTTATCACACAACCCGAGGCAGAGGAGGCGAAGGGCAGCACACTGAGCAGAGAACAGAGAACAGAGCTCCTCCCACACACACAACACACACACACGCACAACATGACTATCATGCCACACACACACATACACAACACAACACACAACACACAACACAACACACACACACACAAAACAAAACAAAAAAACAGCGTGACACACGCGATATGGGATTCTTCAAACTTGACAAAAAAACAAAAACTTTCCCCCCACTTCCCAAGGGAAAAAAAACCGTTCGTTTTGCGATTTCCCCCGGGATGTGCGGTTTTACAGGGGCATCACCACATAGATACGCATAAGGGGGCGATTGGCTCCAAAGCAGGTACAATTCCAATCCCACCCAACAAAAAGTGTGTGTGGTGTCCTTCAAGAACGCGCGATCTTCCAGATCCTTCAACCGTCAACGTGCGCCCGCTTGCTCACCACTGGCAAGACCCGCTTGGTCTTCCCCCCGAAGCCACACCTCTCCCGGCTTGTGGTCACATGCGACATCCTTCCACCACCCACCCACCGCCCTGCCCTGCCCTGCCTCTGCTGGTCTTGTGAGCGACCTCGGGCCAGTACTTGTGGCGCCGACCCGCTGGGATGGAGCATTTTTCAACTCTCAACTACCATCCTCATCAGTACCAGCCAACGAGCTGCACCCAGGCCCAACTACCCCTTTGACTTTGCTACAGCCACTGACTTTCAAGTCTCGACCGCCACCACGTCTGCGATACGCCAGACCAGTTCTTTCCCCGTGATCAATAAAGACGCCAAGATGAAGACTGAGGTTGCCAGCATGATGCAGCAGGAGGAGGCGACAGCCAACTCCAAGATGCAGCTCATGGCCCAAGAGGCTCGCGACCAAGAAGAAGAGAAGTTCACCAAGTAAGACCCCACTCTGCTCCGCACCTCATCCGCCTGCTGCCTTGTAGCTGTGTTTCTCCTCCCGCAAATGGCAGCTCACCAACGTGTTCTTGTGGCTCTTTTTGTTTCATTGCACCAGGTCACTGAACGGCTCTGAGGTGTCCAGCAACAGCAGCAGCAACTCGCTCGAACTTCCCTCGGGCGTCGTCTCCAAGCCTTACGGCATGGAGGGCGTCGAGCGCTACGACAACGCCTTCCACCGCGTCAAGCTCATGCAGTCTGAGATTATTGTCGAGCGCGGCATCACCCGCCGCCTCGCCGAGGTCGGCAAGCAGATTTTGCCCGAGACCTGCCACGAGAGCAACAACTACCTTCTTACCGACTCTATGGTCGACAACCTTTACGGCGACCGTGTGCTCGAGGGCCTGCGTGAGGCTGGCCTCAAGATTTTCAAGATTGTTGTGCCCGCCGATGAGCTTGACGAGACAGGCGAGCCCTCTTGCGAGCGCCACAAGACGCTCGACGTCTTCAGCCGCTGCGTTGACCAGATCCTTGAGCGTGGCATTGACAAGAAGACCGCCATCATCTCCCTCGGCGGCGGTGTCGTGAACAACATTGCCGGTTTCATCTCAGCCACCCTCTACCGCGGTATCACGCTGGTCCACTTTTCCACCACCACCATGGGCCAGGTCGATGCCGCCATTGACTTTAAGCAGGCCGTCAACCACCACATGGGCAAGAACCTCCTGGGTGCCTACCACCCGGCCTCTCGCATCATCCTGGACCCTGAAGTCCTCGTGAGCCAGAGCAAGCGCCACATTCTCAACGGTCTGGCCGAGTCGATCAAGCACGCCTTTACCCAGTCGGAGGAGCTCATCAACTACATTGTTGACAACCGTGCCATGCTCGATGACAAGGAACAGGCCGTCGACTACCTCGAGCAGATCATTCGCCTGACCATTGCCCACAAGGTGCCCACCCTCTCGGGTGACACTGAGAACAACTACAACGAGTATTGCCCTCAGTATGGTCATTGCCCCGGCCATGCCGTTGAGTTTTTGAGCCTGCACACCGAGGGTTCCAAGGCAGCCCTGCTGCACGGCGAGGGTGTCACCATTGGCATGTGCCTTTCAGCTGAGGTGGCCCGCCTCAAGGGCATCTGCGACGATGTTTGCGTCGAGCGTCACTACGAGGTCTGCCAGGCCATGGGCCTGCCCGTCTATATCCCTGACGACATGAGCGTCGAGGCCATCCTCAACAAGATGTGCTACGACAAGCACTACGTCAAGCAGCCCACCATGGGTCTCACCACCAAGGTCGGCGAGATGTACGGCATTGACGGCGACTATGGTCACTCGATTGACCTGGAGACGCTCAAGAAGGCCATTGCCATTAACATCAACCGTCGTGATGCCCAGTCATCATAAGCGGCTTCGTTTGCGCTAGCCTATTTCTGAGTGTCCTGCCTGTGCCTGTGCTAGCTATGCTTTTGATTAGCACCGCTTGTGTCTTGTCTTTAGATTTCTCGTTCCCTCTATTGCCTTGACATGCTTGTCGTGTCTGCACATTTGGCGCGCCCCGCTCTTGTTAACCATATGCCTGGGCGCTGCGTTTCTGTGTGTATGTATGCTCGTGTTCGATACCTCGTGACTTTGCCATCTGCGATGCTGTTGCTCGATGTGTGTCGCCTACACGATCTCGCTCGCGTGTTGAGTTGCTTCTCAGACGTCCTTTCTTCATAATCGACTATCTTTTCTCCTGATCAATCACCTTATCATTCGCGCGCTTTTCGTTCGTAAAGGCTCGTAAAGGCTCGCACAACTCGAGAGCAACTCACATTCACACGCACATCTAAAAAAAAAAGAGTCAAAAGCAAAATCTGAGCTTGATCATTTGTCAGCACGCTCGGGAATTCTGTGAACGAAGAAAGTGACATTGATGTCAGCAATTCGAGTTTAGGGCTAAAGAACATTGTATTGTCAGATAAATCCACTTTAAGGAGGTATTTTTAATCTGCTTCTGTTGCGTGCGTTCGAGTCATGCAAGCAGGCATTATCTTGAGGCGACGCTGCCAGAAAGCGCACGATGCTCAGGGAAAGTGGCACGTCGGACTGGCCTGTACGTAGCAGATACGCAATTCTTGTGTTTGAAGCCGTGTGGCCATAAAAGCACGACTGAATATCGACTCGTGCGTGCCCTTGCATGGCGTGTTGCTCGGGTCCATCGTCCCAATTCAAGGTTGTTGTGCTTCCCAACCAAAAGATCATGAACGGTTTGCGCTCTTTTGTTTATGTCTATCGCAATTAATGATGCAGCATGGCAGGAACGTTGTTCCACCCATCCCGCCGTGGTCTCAGCGATGAACTTGAGGCAATCGGACCTTATTCCCGTCGTTGGGCATCCTGCAAATTGATCCAAAGATATGGGTGGCGGGCGAGGGTTGCTTACGGCCCTTTGCACTATCGTCCAAGCTGGGAAGATGTGCCACGGATTAGGTTGGGATGAGATGACGCTCACCAATCATGGCATGTGCGTCATTGTGGTCAGCTGGATGCAAAATTAGGAAAGAGGGGCGCGAAAGGGGGTGGGAGGAGTTGTCCCCCGAGATGACCTTCTGCCGGGTATGTCTGTACTTGGCAGTTTGCCGGGATAGAATTTGAAAAGCTGAGGCATTAGGTTATGATGGGGAGCTCGAGCGTTCCAAGAAGCACACGACGGCATCCCGAGTTGGCACTGGCTGTGCACGCCTGTCGATGGTGGCGGGGTTGGCATGGATGTCGAGTTTCAAAGGTCAATGACTGCTTGCCGACTTTGTGGGCTGTTTGCATCTCGGATGAGATCCGAGGCGAGTTGCCGTCCTCTCTTGTCTGTGTGTTGGCGCGGCCTGGTGCTCCAATCGACGCAGAAAGGGGTGTGAGGGGGTCAGGCAGTTGTGGCACGTCACGAGCAGAGCTGATTTTGGTGCGGAGGCACCAGCGCCCAACAAGCAAGCGATCCATTCCATTCCGACCCGAGTCATCATCGGATGCAGAAGCGCCATGACTCCAAAGGAACGGGTTGGGGAACAGAGGGGTGTGCCACGCCCGGTTGGTGCGGGCCACGCCAACTTTTGACGTGGCCAAGCTAAGCAAAACCCCTAATCGACGTTACGAGTCGGTGCCCGGAGAGCATGATGTTCAAATCGCGCTCGTGTATGTGTGATTGATCCCTTGGTGCACCAAGGCGCCGAGTGAAACCCTTCTCTGCTCTTCCCAGAGGCAGCTGCAGCAGTTCTCGTGCCTGGCACGTGTGAGTGAAACGGCGGGGGCGCGGGGAGGCCAGAAGGTAAGGCGGCATTATCATCAGAGTCCAAGTGAGCGGAAGCAGCTTTAGAGGACATCCCACCCAACCTATCTACATATCTGCAATCTTTTGTTGGCAAAGGAAGAAGAGAAAAAGATGCGTTCGCGTATCGTGGGTTCCATGGAAGCCATATCGATTTACGTAACGACATCAAGAAAATTTATGTTTCCTATGGGATTGTGGGTCTACTGATGGGATCGAAGCAGCTGGGTAGGTTGCTGCTGATGAAACGAGGGTAGGTATTGGGTGGCGAAATCTCGAGCTGTGCCGGCTCATATCAGCCGCTGGTGGCGCTCAAGAGGTTTGTGATTTTTTTTCATCCTGTTGCCTCGAATAGAGAGACGAAAAGCATTGCTCCTTGCCGACTTTGCCGAGGGCCAGAACAAGTCAAGGCTTGTGGGCTTGATCCGCGCACATCTTTGCGCCTCGTCGTCTCACGCCATGGGTACACAGCGCCAATCATGTGACTCTGGGTCGCGGCGGCGGCTATCATCGTCTGCTGCCACAGCCCGTCTGACCGGACTCGGAATAGCGTTTCTTATTGGTACTGGGAACATAGCATGGCCCAACGGCGGGCCTGTGACTGGACCAGAAGTGTTTCTGTCAACGGTGTGGGCGCATAATCAAAAGGACCCATGAACGACCTCATCCGACCCAACGGGAGCATCAACGAAACGCAAATGCCGAAATTAACCCGATGCGAGCTCATGCCTTGTCGTGAGCGATATAGCCAACGAGGATCGAAAACTTGACCTCAGGGCGGCTTTTCTCCGCACCGACTGACTGGGGTGTTGTAATCTAAGTTGGTTCGTGCGTGACCCACGAACAGGCAAGTCTTGCCTTCATTCCAAAGAGCCCTTCGTCCTGCGTCATATACTCGATGACTCTTCTCCCAAACTCCAGGAGTTTGAACCGCAGCTTTTGTTGTTTTCGTCAACTTTGCCCGCTGTTCCGAGCTCTCGATTGGCCCCGTGCCTGGTCGAGCTGCACCATCCTGCCCATGGTTGTTGTTGATTGTGCTTGTCTTGTTCAGCGCCCATCCAGGCACATGGACAGGCAGTGGTCCGCAGGTCTACTATCATTGTGATGAAACTCTACGTTCTGAGCCGGGACAAAGCCAGTCTTTAACGTTGGCTGTTCGGCGCCGTAACACTCAAATTGGTTGCCACTTGCATACACGGTTGATGTATCCGATTCACGTTGCAGAGGAAGATGGGAAGAGGACGAGGATGAGGAAGATGGGAAGAGGACGAGGAAGAGGAAGAGAGAAAGAAACAACATCAAGACGTGCTTGAAGTTTGAACAGGCCCGCACTGCCCAGCAGACATGGTCAGCAAGTCAAGGTCGCGGAACCATTCGCTACCGCGGTGCTTAACACCGCCGTGCATAGCAAAGCCACGTCAACCTCCATCCGGAATTGGGTTGTGTCGCGTGAGCATGGTTGGATTGGCTCCTCGGATGTTTTCGCCTTTTTTGTGTTGGTGATGAATCTGTAAGAGGAATGTGTGTGTGTATGTATGTGTGTGTCGAAGGTTTGACTCACTTTCTGTCGCTGACGGACCCTTTGCCCGTGTGTATGTCCGACCGCTTGACTGTTGGTGTGGGTGGCATTTTTTTTTGACGTCTCCGTCTCCTGCTCTGGCTACTTCAAACTCGTCCATTGGATGTACGTTTGGGTTGTCCTAAAACCTTGCTCGCTTGTCTGGCACGGTATGCCGTGGCCTCCTTCCGCTGCCACCCTCGCCCCCACCCGTGCACCTTCTCTTGCCAGCCTGCCATGTCCCTGATTTGTTTTCGCTCCGTATCGTTTGGAGACCTCGCACTTCATCTGCACTTCCTTGATCAAATCACATCACCCATCGCATCAGCTCGCAAATCCCCTCCCCCTATTATAAAGG